CTCCAAGGAATGGTCCCTTCTGACAACATGACCAAAATAGGTGAGACGAAGTCTGGCCATTCTCGCTTCCAAGGAGCATTTCGGGTGCACTTCCTTCTTTTAGAAGTGATGTAAATGTTCTAAACTGATAGTGGTGATAAGTGCACAACTCTGAACACACCAAAAACCACTAAATTTTATACTTTAAATTCGTGAATTCTAAGTTATGTGAATTATATCTCAATGAAGCTATTACAAAAATATACCATTAAAAAATGTGCAATGGTTTTCATAATATTTCTTCCTAAGCTTACAGGGACTTTAATGACTAATAACTTCTTTGGTAAAGAAACATCTGTCTAAAGACTAGTAATTCTTCAATTTTATTTCAAAGTTTTATTCTTTTAAATCCAAGCAAAATTAAACAGAATGCTTTTAATTTAATATATTATGATCCACAATATAAAGTTTTCTCAGTCTCTCTATCTATCCATCCCTTTTACTATATATATATATGCATATAAGATATCTGAGATGATTTTCACATAATATGATTATAAAAACCAGGAATTTGGGTGATTTGTTCTTTCTTCTTTGTTGTTTCCTGTACTGGTGTTTTGGTCATCTAGTGCCACAGACATACCACAAATGGGTGGCTTTAGCAAACAGGGATTTATTCTCTTACAGTTTAGGAGACTAGAAGTCTGAGTTAAAAGTGCCAGCTCTAAGAGCTGGGTGAAAGCCCCTTGAGTTTGGGCTTCAGCTCTGCCTCCTGCTCCCAGCCCACTGGAGCTGGAGGCATCTCTTAACTCAGGCAGCTTCTGGCTACTGAGGCTGACAAACCCAAAGTCAATAAATGAAATGGCACAGCCCCATGATTACCAAACAATATGGCAGGCCACTAGTTCAAGTCCAGAGACAGTCCCAAGATCGGCAGGAAACATGGCAGGCTGCTGAATGAAGACTTGGCTGCATGCAGGGGCTAAGCATGCCAAAAAGCTGCAGAGACCTTTTTCAAAACTTCTTATGTACTGGAAGCAGACCACATCCCTAAGGCAGCTACTCAGCTGCTCCAGTAGATTCCACCCTGGAGTTGATTACCAATATCATCATGGGAATAACTACCACCAGCAGCCCAGCCACTCAAAACCAGGCCTAGCCAAGGTGACATATAACCTTAACTACCACAACTGATTACACTTAAATAATGAGGATGTTTTATTTTTATTCCTATTCAAATTGCACTTATGAAGGGGACAAAGTAAATATGCCAAAATATTAATGACTGCCTGTGGGTAATAGCATTAGGAGTGTTTTTCCCTCCTTCTTTACTTTTTTCTGTGCTTTACAAATTTCCCTATAATGAACATCTATTATTTTATAAATAGAAGAAAGTAAAATAAATAAATAAAAGAATTAAAGGTATATGTCACATTTCTTTAAATGATTACTTGGTTCCTACCTGTACTCTTTCTGTTGCTCCTGAACAATCTTTCTTCCTGGCCAGATGTCACCAATCTGTGACTGATGAAGTATGGACTGTCCCACAGTTTCTCTTTTATTAACTTTAAGACAAACAAAAACATGGCAAGAGGTAGTGAAAAGGGAAAGAATCCACATATAACCTCCCTCGAAATACACTGTTCTTGAAGAACAGATGGTGAACCAATCTTTATACTATCCCCAAAAACTGAGTGAACCCATGGAGTAAGAAGACACTAAGATTCCACGCTAGAGGATCTATCACTAACATTAAGCATCTCAAAACATGCCCAGTACCTGCAGGTTTGCGGCGTAGGGACATCCTGATTATCTCACTGCCTGAATGGTATTCAAAGCGATTCACTTTCTGGTCATAAAACCAGTCTCCAGTTGCCTTCTTCAGCTCTCTGGGAAGGAATAAAAGAAAATGACAGATAAAGAATGGCTGTTGTTACTCAACCAACAAAGAGCAAGAAAAGAAATTCTCACCACAGCTGGGGCCTCATTTCTTCTTTTTACACACCCACAGATGACACTTACATTTCCTTGGCACATACTTTGCACCTCCAGGTACCATTGCTTTCCTGGACACAACAGTCCCGACACACCAGGTGATTACAACCCTGACAAGTGTTGGTCTTGGGAGTCAAACGGCCAAGGCTCTCCTGACACCGGGCACAGGTCCGATCACTGTAGTGTTGGCTGCCCCTCTTGGCCCCTTTCCTTTTAATCTCCAACAACTCATTCTTCAGTCGTCTGTCAAGACCCAAGAGAAAAGCACAACTGGATTCACTATCTGCCCAGGCTAGATGGAGAGCGGCTGTCATGTTGGCACAGTAAGACTAATTGGTTCTGTGAAAGCAACAAACTCAGAGCCAAATGTGAATCAATGAGGAGTTGTAAACTTTATATATAAAAGTTCTTCTGAAAGTTGGATGAGAGGTATAAGGAAAATCCCGTTTATCATCTGTCAAGGATCTGGGAACCCACATTTTTTCTGGGACTCTTACCTAATCCTTTTCTCATCTGCTTTCCGCAGCTCCTCATCTCGCTGTAGAACATTGAGGATCAAATCTCTTTCCATATCAGATAGAAAAGAGAGGTCAAGTATCTCCGACATGACTTATTCTACTTTTCCGTATACTCTTCTTTCTTCAAAGCAATCAGACAGGAGAAAAGATGCAAATAAAAAAAAATAACAAATGAAAGAGGTGACATTACAACTGACTTGATAGAAATTAAGAGAATTATGACAGAATATTATGAAAAACTGTATGGTAACAAACTGGATAACCTAGATGAAATGGACAAATTCTTAAAAGTACACAACCTGCCCAAACTGACTCAAGAGGAAACAAAAAGTATCAATAAACACTTAACAAGTAAAGAGATTAAACCAATGATCACAAACCTCCCAAGGGAAAAAAAATTCCTGGACCAGATAGGTTCACTGGGGAATTCTACCAAACATTTAGAGAAGAATTGACATCAATAATCTTAGTGTGTATTGACACCAACTCTTCCAAAAGATAAAGAAGTAAGGAATACTCCCTAATTCATTCTATGATATAATCATAACCCTGATATACAAACTAGACAAAGACACCACAAGAAAAAAAAAAAAACCTATATATAGGCGTATATCTCTTATGAATACACATGCAAAAATCCTCAACAAAATACTAGCAGACAGAATTCAATAGCATATTAAAAGAGTCATACACCATGACCAAGTAGGCTTTATTTCAGGAATGAAAGGATGGTTCAACATTTGAAAATCAATCAATATAATATACTAACTACATCAATAAAATAAAAGAACCACATGATCACCTCTATCAATGCAGAAAAAGTATTTTATAAAATCTAACGTGCTTTCTTCGTAAAGATCCTAGAGAAAATTGGAATAAAAGGAAAATTCCTCAATATGATTCAGGGCATATATGAAAAGCCAACAGCCAACCAACATTAATTACACTTAAAGGAGAACAAATGAGAGCTTTCTCCTTGGAATCAGGAACAAGATAAGGGTACCCACTCTCTTCACTTTTATTCAATATTGTATTAGAAGTCCTAGCCAGAGCAATAAGACAAGAAAAATAAACAAAAGGTATTCAGATTGGAAAAGAAGTAAAACTGTCTCTATTGGCAGAAGATACTATATATAGAAAATCCCACAGTCCACAAGAAAACTTCTAGAGCTAACATAGGAATTTAGGAAAGTTGCAGGGTACAAGGTCAACAAATAAAATTCAGTTGGGTTTCTATACAACTGTAATGAGAAATCTGAAAGGAAAATTAGGGAAACAATTCATTTTACAATAACACCTAAGAGAACAAAATATCTATCAATAAATCTAGCCAGAAATATGAAGGACTTATACAATGAAAACTATAAAGCACTGCTGGAAGAAATTAAAGAAGACTTAGACTTAATATTGTTAAAATGTCAATACTGCAAAGTGATCTACAGATTCAGTGCAATCCCAATCAACATTTTAGCAGCCTTCTTTACAGAAACAGAAAAATCAATACTGAACTTTACCTGGAATAGCAAGATGCCTTGAATAGCTAAAACAATGCTGAGAGAAAAACAAAGTAGGAGGGCTCATACTTCTGGATTTTAAAACATATACAGCTACAGCTACAGTATTCAAAACAGACTGGTACTGTCTAATAACAGCTACATAGACCAATGGAATACAATTGAGAGTCCAGAAATAAAAACACACATCTATGCTTAACTGATTTTTGAGAAGGGTGCTAAGTCCATTCAATAGGGAAAGAAGAGTCTCTTCAATAAATGGTGATGGGAAAACTGAATTTCCACATTCAGAAAAATGAAACAGAATCCTAGCCTTACACCATACACAGAAACAAAATAAAAATGGATTAAGGAGCTAAATGTGCAAACTAAAACCAAAAAATTATTAGAACAACAAACAGGGGCGATGCTGTCAGAACTAGCTTTCAACAATGAATTATTTAGTATAATAACAAAAGCACAATTAGTAAAAGACAAAATAAATAAATAAGACTTCATGGAAATTAAAAACTTTTGTTCATCAAAAAACTTCATATAAAAAAATGAAAAGACAAGCTACTGACTGGGAGAATAT